TTACAGGATAAACATCCGTAGATGCGTAATTCCATCAAAATGGCATTATTGCTAGTGCAGACAGTCCATTACAACAGCAGCGACGGACTAACGGCAATAACTCACAACTGGGTGAGTATTTATTTTTGCAAGTTTTACTCCACTTACAAAGCTGAGCCAATTTAACCCCCGTGTGCCATTAGGATGAAAAACAATCCCTCCAACAGAGGTCCATCTGCCTTTTGGACAGCTAACAAGAATCTGGCCTCGACAACATTGGAGGCTGCAATACAGCAGATCAACACAATCCACAAAAATCCCCTAATCCAGCAGTACATGCTCTAAAGCTGCTTAATGTTTGATGTGAACATAGGGACAAACCACTTCCTGTTGTAGGTTTACAATCTGTGGAGACCAGGACAGATTGATCAATTGGCTTCTGCAGCAAAAAATGCTGATTTCTACCCTCGGATACAAGGTACATTTAAGGGATTGAGCATCTTATGATAAAACCTGCTGAAGTCAGCTTTTAAATGACGTGGAGAACAAACTGAACTGTTCAGAGCACAAGAAGAGAGGAAAAATAACTTTCTCTGAGGTAGATTCTCATATCTACCCCACATAATGACCCCGAATGAAAATGTTTGCCAACTGCTTTTTTCAACATGATGCATCCAGCTGCAGTGGAGAATGCATCCAATGTGGGTGAAGACATTAAGATGGTAAATTTTACTACAACTCCTCATGCAGTTCCTACCTAGTCTCATATAGCCAAACCTTTTCTTTAGCGCTGTGTCAGCGGTAAAGGAAGGTCTGGCTCCACACATTATTATTCTGCTATAGGGGGGAGAAACGCTCTGGCTCGTTTGTATTTCTTTAAAGCACTCACAATCATCTTGGGCGGCGCGAAGCACATGATGCAGCGAGGAGGAGAACGTCTGATGAAAAGGCGGCTAAAGCATTTCAGACTTCCCAAAGCTTTGTGTTGAGTAGCATCAAACAAGAAGATGTCTGGTCTGAAGATGTCAGACCAGCATAAAATATATAGACACACTGGGAGGACAGATGGTCACTGCCTCAAAACATCATTTGGTGAAGAACAATAAACCCAAAGGGTGATCTGCTGTTGACGAGTTCACGAATTTAAGTAAAATTAGACTTTGCTAAGTAAGCAAAGCTCTTTTGAAGCTATTCCGAGTTGCCTGATTTGTGCTGACTATTAATGTGGTGATGTCATCATCACATCCCTGGTGGGGGTTATTTCAGTCTAAGTGCTTGGAGAAATTTCAATCTCTGCTTTAAAGAAGATTAACGGCTCTTTTTTTTCTGTTAAATTTATGTTTCCTGTCCATGGGCTGTTGAATTTCAAAGTAAGGTGGGTCTAATTCAGAGTAGCTTGAATACTGTATATGACTTCTCACTGCAGCTACTGACATAACCAAAGGCTTCTTCTTTTTTCTTTCTTTCTTTTCTTTTTTTTTTTGGTATATATTATCATTAAAAAGCATCCAAAGAAGCTGGTACTTGTTATGATCTGGCAGTCCATCAAGGCTAGGTTTATGCAAATGTTTTAATTAAGCTAATTAGCATTCCTGTCCATTCCCAGCTGGGGAAACTTGTTCTAAAATGTTGCAGGCCATAAAAATTAATGGTGGGGAAAGAACTCCCATCAGTTCTCAAATGCACATACACGTGCATTCAACTTTCTATATACTTGCTTAAAAAGACAACCACCACATCTGTGTTGGTGCATTGAGTGACAACAGTATGTGAAAATGCTGCTTTAACGTTAATTAGCACAGAGCAGAGTATGGATAGGTGTCGAGCTAAGATCAATACTGTCTGAGGATATCTTTGACTTCATTTAGACACCGTCTTCAAAGCCTGAACTGCTTCTTCTCCCACTCGGCAACAAACACAGAGGTGATGTGACAGAAAAGTAATTCTTACAAGAAACTGCAGAAACATTTGGCTGCTGTCGTATGAGCTTTTTTTTTTTTTTTTGGCCTGAGAGGCAGCTTAGTTGTGAGTCGGTGACTGCAGGAAAATAACAGCCGGATGCAATTTTGTAGTCCGAAATTACCTGCGACTCCACAGGAGTTCAAGCGTCCTTGGAAAATGTCCCATGAAATGTGCAGTAACTCTTGAGAGTGGCTTTTTCACTGCAAACCTACCTAACCTTTTATAAAACCCACTGACCTCCTACAGACAACTGTGACAACTTCCAATGATTCGTGGACGTCTCCTTGTTCACTGGGAAATGTAATCCTTGCATCCATCTTTGGTGTTTTGAACAAATGACAGAATTTTACACAATTGATTCAGCTAAATTAAAGAGGTTTTTTTTACCTGACCTAGGGGGCGCTTCTGCATTGCATCATTTTGTAATCTTACTTCCGTTTTAGAGTGGAAGTGCGATTACTTTGATTAGCGCTGTCAGCTTAATTATCCTTTACCTGCCAAAACAATGTGTCTAAGCTTTTAGAAAAACATCTTTTCCTGCAAAAAGTAACCATTTAGATTCCCAATATGTGATCAGTTTATCCAAATACCGCCTATTTGAAAATTCACGGCGATGTTCTTGGAGCTGCTGGCTGTATGAACCCGGCCAGTTGGCATATACAAAAAGCGCATGTGACAGTCTTTCTGTATTTACTCTCACCAACATAAGGGATAGACACAGGTCCAAACTGCATGTTTAAACATCAGGGGTATTAAGAATAATTAGAAATCAAATCAAGAACCACTTATTTGGCAATAGTTAGATGGCTAGCCAGCTAGTAGCTAGATAGCTAGATCCTAGCTAGCAGACAGACAGACAGGTTGGCTTAAATAGCTCTCTAGTTGATTTAAATGATGTGACCACACAAGGCTAACAGTGGGGGTAGCCATCTTGGAACCTGGGGGTTTTCTGGTGACTCTTTCTCAATAGGACAAAGTCAAACTGTTTGCTGTGACTCTGGGAAGGCCTTTTGTTGCTTAGAGAATCAAAAACATGTCAAATACGTGAACGCAACACCACCGAGAAGGAGTGAAGACAAACGGCAAACTATGAGACCTCAAAGATGTGAAGGCTGACTGTCATGACGGTTAGTAATCGTGTCAGTAGCTTAAACTCTACTGAGTGGTACAAAACACGATACCGTGTCTGAGTCAGCCATTTTCCACCATCTGGAGCACTTGGTAGTTTTTTGTTTTTTTCAGTCTCTCTGGTGCGCTTGTTCATTCCTCCTTGACATGAACACACTGACAGCAATCTAAAGCTTTAGGAACTTTGATTGTTTCATGGATTTTTTTAAAGCCTTGGTTCATTTGCCAAAAGACTGATAGAGAAGGAGCAAAAGGTAAGATTAAGGGGTAGGACTATATTACCTTAGAGTGTTGTACTTGTTCCGGGCAGGTTTGTGTAGATAAGGAGGGGGAGAAAGAGGGAGGAGGAGAGAACAAGGGCAGAGGGTGTGGTGTGGAGGAGAGGCAGCGCTGCAGTGCTGACCACTGTGAGACTCATCCATCCAGAACGTGCTGAGCTGCTCTGCTTCAGGTAACTGGCTTCAACTCAAGTTTGGCGCCCGAATTCTTTGATTGAGAACACCTCCACTCTGCAACATTACTCAACGCAACATAAACTAAGCAGAAAAACCACTGCACATCCTCTCCACTGCCTCCTCTTCCTCCTCCTCTTCACATTCGCACAGGGGCCCTGCTCTCCTTAAAATGACACCTCTTATAATCAACAGGAGTTGGCAGCTTATCTTTGCTTTGCACATTATTACCAAACAAAAAGGACCAGGTGTTTTGCTGCCAGCAAGGGATTCAATTATTTAACAGCTGTTCTAGCTCCTGGTGTGTGTGTGTGTGTGTGTGTATGTGTGTGTGCGCGCGCGCACCCTGACTTCATCTTTTATTGAGGCAGCCGGTGAATGACTTGTTACAAACAGCTCACAGGGAAGTACGCTGATGTCTGCCACCGATCCATTTGAGGGAATGACGGACCGTATACCCACCAGACTGCAGGATTGAACTCGAATAACTCTGCCTTCTTAACCTGAAGGCATTTGGACAATTTTCTTAAACCTGGGTACCTGAGTTTGAAGTGCAAGGTCTGGGGAGGTTTACTGCTGCTGTTACACAAATGTGCCTGTAAGCACATACTCTCAAAAAGCAAATATATACCCACATACATACGTGCGCAAACACGAATACTCCGACAACTGCAACTGCATCTTACTGTTTTAACGTGCAGCAGAATATACTAGAAACTGCTTGTTGGATAAAGTGTCAAAGCAGAATTTAAAGGCAAAGTAATTCACGTTCAATCTCCATTCTTTTCAAGAGGCACAGTCAAGAGTCACAGCAGTGAAAAGCTCAATGTGCGGCATCAGAGGGGCGCGAGCTGTGGGAAAACCTCACAGCAGTTTTCCATTGCAAGCTGAAACCCCCCTGTGGATTCTATTTATACTAAGAGATAAACCTATACGTCTACTATCATCCACAAACAGGTCCACTGTATCCTTACTTTAAATCACTGTTTTTATGACCGACAAAGTAAAAAAAACTGTTCTCTTTTGGCACAATACGCTTCTCAACTTATTCACGGTGCGCTCAATTTTCGGCACATTGGTGTCAAACCACGAAGATTAAAATCCCGATTGATCGTGAAGTAGGTCTGAAACATCGTAGTGAAAAATAAACACCGTTATCTGTCGTAAATCCACTCTAGTGCCGCTTCGGGAGGGAGCAGCCCGCGGCACATTGATGCGCCCTGGGGTTCCCTCCACTTTGACCGAGCAGCTGTGCAGCATCTGACACTCCGTAATGATTTATATCCGCGCTGCAACAGTAAATGTCGGATCAGAAATCTCATCAGTTAGCACAAAATCCGTCGACAACAGCAGCTTGCCGTGGTCGTTAAATCTCTCATAAACGACGGTTCCGCCTGTGCGCGTTAGCGCGCGCGTCGCGCGTAATTGGGTTAAACCCGACCGTTTCTTTGTTTTAATAAAAACATAAAGTAGTCCTACCTCGCTCATGATGGACGGTAAAGTGGAGGTTTTCTCGGCTGCTTCCAGTACGCGAGTTGCGGAGCGAGAAGTTTCAGCAACAGTGGTCTTTACAAGAGTGGCTCGCCGCGGACAGAGGAGCTTTATAAAGTGTTAAGCCCAACTCCTCCGTGTCATCGCGTCACCAATAAACCAATAGGAGTGCCGTGGGCAAATGTGTCTCCCAAGTTACCACCCAACTCTTTAAAATATTCATATGCTGGGTAAGCCCCTTTTCATCAGAATCAGCCAAACGGAGCTCGTCTCCTCCTGTTGACGGGAGCGCCGGGAGGCATTTCATGCACCAGTCATCATGTCATCAGTAGAAATTGTTATTTCACTAAATTTACCATTGTGAATCCCACCTGAGTGCGTGCACTAGTGCGTGGGTGTGAGCTTCATAACAAAAGCTCTCAAGTAAAATTATGTTCTGCCTTTGTGTCTTTTATTTCAAAAACAGGGATTTACAGTTTGCCTGTGGTGCTTCACTGTAACATAAAGTGCTTCTTTTAATGCACCATAATGTTTATATAAGGTCCCTACATTTTATTGTTTTATCTCATGAAATGTGTTGTGATGTTTGCCGGGCACCTCACATTTATTGTTAATTACATCCAGTAAAGGTTTACAGAATAAGCTAATTCGATTTTCTCTGGTGAATTCTCTAACAACAGCATGTTAAATTTATTGCATCAGAGAGACCGAGCATTGCGTTTTACCATTATTACATTTCTTACTTGAAAGAAAAAGTGCTTGTGATTTTCAAAGAACAGTGTCTATTTCCAGCAGCCTTGTGTAATCCCTTTGCTTCAATCTAACTGCATCCAGCTCTATCAATTCCCTCCTTTTCATCCCCTTCAACATCAAATTGAGACGGCTAATTATCGTTTGTCCTAAATCCATACGTCCATTTGTAAAAAATCAATACAGGCGGTGGTGCATTCAAATAGCAAACAGCAACTTGACTCAAGCCAGAGAAACCTCCATCTGGTTCCTGCACATCTAAACGGAAATGGTTTCGGACAAAGACAATCGGCACCGATATTCAAAGCTCTGATGTGGATGTAACATGAAGGCTGTGCAGCTTCCTTATGGAGCTTCGGTGAAGTCCCAATGGAGTCTTGATGGATGGGAGAATTGGAACCCGATTACAAATGAAGCCTAACATCTCTGCTGCTCCGGCCTGACCTGTGTGTCTCTTGGGTGTCTGTCAATGCGCCTGACAAACTGGAGCGGATTTGCACTGAAGAATAGCTTCGGGGTCCTTGTTCTGCAAAAACAAATAGTCCTCATATCGCTCTGCTCAAGACAGTTTGCGGGAAGGGAGTCGTGTTGGTAGATGCAGCACAATATGTGATGCCTGCAGCGTAGCCGAGCTCGTGTTGTCATCAGGACGCCTGCGGGACATGATGAAGTTAGAGACGCTGGTCAGATCACACGTGAGGAAGTGGCTTGAACTCAGTAGTGTGTGGCGTTGGGTTGTTGTACGTCTATCTTCGCAGAAGTATCATTGCACGAGTTCAGACATTTGGACAGCGTAGTAGGGAGTCCTCTATGAATTTGGAAACTTCTTTAGTGGAGGGATATTGTGCGGCGATGAGTCCATTCCCAGGACCGACCTTCATAAAGTTGTAGCTTCAGGGTGTTGATCAAGTATGCTCGGTGACGTAACCAAACGCAACTAACAGATACATTGATCAGAGATGAAAAGGAACACAGCTGCTTTTTGTCTTCGAGGTATAGAACTCAGTGAAACATTTCAGGCAGGATGCCACCTGCAGGCAAGACGTGATGTTTAAGTCAGAGGAACAAATGATTGCACATTGTGATAGAGGGGGCACGTGAAGGGAAATGTATGCCGACAGTGTTCGCATTCTATTATCGCTGAATAAAACAGTCTGTGATGAGATGAGCGTATAGTGTAAACCAGCAGGGCTCTGGATCCATGATTGATAAGCACAACTCTGCAGTCACTCGTGTCAGGTTTGTGCATCTTCATGTGGGACCTGAATTGATTCACTTCGGGCTCAGTGGATTGTTATATTGCAGTCTCTTTAGTGGGAAATGTTGCACTTGCTTATTTTATTTTACGTAAAAATGACGAATGAAGGTTATGGTGGATTTCTTTCCCTGTAGAGCAGTCGTTATCTTTTTGTGATTTTGCACTTAACAGTCTAAAAAAAGACTCTGCAATGCATGTACAGACCGTAGTTCTTACTCCTGTGGTGTTACAGCCAAACCTCACTCCACACTGTGTAAATGCATCACGACTAAAAGCTGAATTTGTTATTATGTTGACTGATTATAGCGCATTGTTCTCTGCTTCTTTGATCTCTCTGTGAGGTCTTTTCTATCTGTGTCTTATGTCACATTCCACCGCGTAGTTCCGCTTTGTTGTATTTCCATCAGGGTTTTGCCTCATGAATTATTCTGAACAAACACCTTTATTCTGCTTTGTTGTGTAGCTTGATCTGGAGATACTCCTCCCTCGGAGAGTTGCACGGCATCTTCCGTGTGTGTTTGTGCTGACGTGCTGCACACATATATGTAAATGTCTGTTAACTAGGCCTTTTGGAGATGTTTGGATATCATTTTTCCAAGACTGAAAGTATTTTGCTGTTTCGTTGGGAAGCTCCAAGTACAGAGAGAGAGAGAGTCCATGCTCTGTCATTTTAAATGTCACTATAAAAATATCCATAGTTTGTCAGCCGCCATATGTGATGTAATACTGTCTATTGCTTCTGCTCTTTTGTGCTCAGCCAAGGCCTGGAGCCAAAACTGCTTTTTACTATTATTTATTTAAAATGATATATATTATATCAGCAGAAACCCTTTGATATGTACCACCTCGTTTTCAAGCCGGTCCCAAATTTCAAGCTGCACTGAATAAAATGTAACAAGTACAAAAGTGTTGCCGCTGATCATAAAGATTCTGGTATTAATAATTTTGATTCAACCTAATCTCTTCCACCTGAAAAACGAAATGCAAAGGCAATAGTGGATAACAATTGAACTGCTCGGACATATGTTGTTACAGTGGCTTTGTTTTGTGATTGTTTTTCCGCTTCAGTGTAATAACCAGGCGGAAACCTCCAGTCCTGGAAAGTGAAGCCAATGCCGAAGTGCCTTAAACTTGTATTGTCCCTAATGGCCAGCAGGGGGCGACTCCTCTGGTTGAATTTTATGAGAAAATGACCAGACTTCTCACTTGATTTATTACCTCAGTAAACATTATAAACATGAATTTATGGTCTCAAACGCTAGTTTAAAGTCTTCTTCAATACAGCATGATGTTCATTTAGTAAATTATGGTCCATTTAGAGTAAAGCAGAGTGTGCTTTAGGCCAGGCTACCTTGTGATTGACAGGTCGCTATCAGAGCTGATTACAGCATCTCTGTCACTTCTCCGCAGTCCAACTATGGTCACTTCCATCTTTTTGCAAAAAACAAGATGGCGACGGCCAAAATCTACGATAACAATGGACATATTGCCGAACTCGAGGCTTCAAAACCTTAGTCCACAAACCAATGGGTGACGTCTCTGTGACTAAGTCCACTTCTTATACACAGTCTATGGTAATATCGCGAGAGGAGAGACTGAGACAGATCCTGAAAGTGTGTTATCTGACGGCCAACGCATGACAGTTAACACACCGGGTGTGTGTTCAGCAATGTTACTCTTCCATATCTCCTCAGTAAAGTATCTTTATCAAAGGAGAACCAGAGAGCATTTCAGCCACAGATCGTTCTTCCTTTCATCTCTCTCTCCGTCTGAAGAAGCCGCCAGGTTGATTCGCAGGAACACAGAGAGGACTTCTCACCGCAGGGCAATGTGGATGGAAATAAAAGCCTCCTCTGACCCAGTTGAAACTGTATGAACAACATAGATATCCAGAATAATACAAATTTAGATCGCTGTCATCATCACTTTGATCATGACCGTAAATATACATGCATATCAGGTATAATATAAGGTGGTAAGTACTGTAGCTGAGCATTTAAAAACAATAAAAACCAAACATAAAGAGTGTGTCATCGCTATCAAACCTGTATAGCAGTGAATACAGTATCAGTTTTTACCTTCTACAGTTATAGAAATGTATTGTAATTGCAATTTTATAGCATGAAAAATGTGTTTGACATATACTATCTGACTAGTTGAGATATATATATATATATATATATATATATATATATATATATTAATTAATTAATTAACTCAAGAGCCGACTGAGATGGTCCGTTCATGCAGCTATTCTTATAAAATAGTGACTATAATGACAGAAATTCATGTGTTTTCACTAGATTAGTCCAAATCTTTCTAAAATAGTTATACTGGAAAAGTTTCAGAACCTGTTTTTTTGCATTCACATCACATGCGGTCGGATTCGCCGACCCCTTGAATCATCGAGTACAATAGCGGCACCAACATTTGTCTTGGTAACACTGGTGCAGACTCAGTGAGAGCTCGCACAGTTTGAACAACGGAAGCTAAGTGTACAGTATAATTCACACTCAGTGAGCACTGCAAGGGACAGATACATGATGCACAGTTGATGCGCTCGGTACAAAAATACAGTCCACGCGTACACTTCCACCCTGCAGGATTACATAGTGTATGTGTTCTCAGGCACTGTTCCACACAGTTTGATTGTATCTGCAGAGGGAAGTGATTTATCTTTATCGTCATGTTATTTCAGACTCCACACAAGATATGTATCACACGACGAAGAACATGCCGGTGGCTTTCAATTACACACAGATAATAGTGTTTGCTTTGACTGGCAACAATAAATAACATCCTTCCACATTGGCTCTATGTGTTGCTGGACGTTCTCTCCAACGCAACTTCGTTTTCCAGTGCTGTAAATGTTGCCTTTGGGATTGGAGTGAGCCACATGTGATCTTGGGGAGAAGGAGATACTTTTCAGCCTGGTTTCATTTGTGCAGTTAATTAACTGATGAATAAATAAAAGTAAGAAATCTGCGAAAGACGTTGAGGAGCGACAGACTTTCAGCTCGGTGCAATATAATGACTTAATATTTACAAAAAAAATTAAAAAGAAGGGAACATATGGTGCAAAAAAGATGCCAGTGAATGCACTGAGATATAAAGGAAAGCAGCTTCCTCCAGGGAAGTTTATGCGCTCAGAAGGAGGAGAAC